TATCTGTTTAATGCATCCTGTTTTCCAAAGGCATCTCAGCTGGAACGAAAATCAGAAAACTGTAACCTAAAAGCTGACAATAATAATCAGATATGGAAACACATGTAAACAATCCTCAAAGTTTCACTGCATAGAAACGTAAGGATAGTTTGGAGAAATATAAGTAAACAATCAGAAATCATGCCAGGTGAACAAGTAAACCGTGTTAGGTCAATTGTGAATATTAATTAATTGAATTATATGTCAACTACTTACTTACGTCTGTTACTCTTCGTGCAGAATAGGCCATCCGCTAGATTTCTGCAACCGAATCTATCCTGGTCTCTCCTTTTCAGTTGTGTTCCAAGTTTTATTCATTCTTTTGATGTCTACCTCGAATTTCCTTCGCAATATGTTCTTTAGTTTTCCTCTTCGTCTCACCATAACGATTCCAGATGAGAGCGTGCTTTTTGATGTAGTTCGATAATTTTAATAATGTGTGACCTATTTCACTTTCAATTCCTTTTCACCTTCAACTGGAAATTGATTTGTTTACTGCCACACTAGATTGTTGTTGATATTGTCCAGTCAATGAATCTATCAATCAATCAGTATGTTAATTAAGTTTAGAGAAATTCTAATACCTTAAATCTTTTGGACGAATATCCTGACAATGTTGTCTAGAAAAACAATGAAAATACTACAGCTTGCTCATTCGATCTTCAGAATATAATATTCAGCTAAAACTAGGTTCATCATATATATTTGTAAGATCCGTGTAAGCTTTGAGATACACAACTATTTGAGTAAATAAACACATATCAATCATAGATCTTTTTGAGTTAGTTGATATTTTCCCTTTTTCTGGTGTGAAATTTCGTTTTTCAAACTGAACAGTTTAATTGTGAAGCTTTGATTATTATCCTTCCAAACAACATCATTAGCACAAACATTGTGTAGAATAGCTCATTTCTACTTGACGTTTTCTGCTGCTGATGATGATGTTGTTGTCCAAAAAGATATCGAACACTTCATGATTGTAATGATCAGCTTGAAGAACCAAATTCCATTTTTTAAAAATCATTGAATTGAATTACAAATCATTTCCTTCAATTTAGATCTTCATAATTGTTTTATTTAAGTGCACAGATATCATTGTCAAAAAAACATTGAACACACTCAAGGAAGTTATAGCTTTGTGTTAAAGAAAAAAAAGGACTCTTCATTAGATGTTTGCCATAGAAATTTGCCACCAAACATTTACAAGATTCATGCAACAACAATAAAAATAATATAAGTGAGGATTGAAAGTGGCTAGCAATATCGAGGCAACATGCACAGGATACATATATGCCAATAAGAGGTTGACTAATTGTGGTCCTAAACATCAATGGGAAGATTTAAGTTAACAATAATAAGTGAATTTAGATTTCAACCCATTGCACATGCAAGTGGCTATCAGGACTCAGTAGCTAAGTGGATAATGCGGTGGAGTTTGAAGCGAACGATATTGGGGTGGAGTACAAGAGTGAACGTCAACTCGAAGATGCAACTACATCCAGCTGATAGTCCTAAATAGGACGAAACGTGTATCACAACTGATTGATTACTGGGTGGTGATCCATGTCATGCTTGTCTAGTCCTCATTAGTGCAGATCGAATGCTATCGATCATGTTGCAATGTGGCCACCAGTCTAGGTGACTCGACACTGCGGGCACTATGTATTGATATTTTAGGTGGTAGTTGGAGGTAGTCAACAGGAAACCCTGGACCCGGGTTTCGTGCTACTTGGCACTCGTCAGCAAGGTGTACCTGTAATCTTGAGGGAACTGGTGCTCCCTGGCGGATTCGATCTCGTGTCACCCAGCTTCACAGTCAGAGACGTTACCACTGAGCTATCCGAGCCGTGACTAACCTCCTGTAGGACTGAGATGTAATCACAATTGATTGATCACTGGGTGGTGATCAATGTCATGCTTGTCTAGTCCTTATTAGTGCAGATCGAATGCTATCGATCAACGTGCATCCTGGATTCCATTGCTAGACACTGTCCATCTTTGCCAATAAAGCTTGTGACTTTAGGCAATATCGAGTGTTACGTCCTTGTTCTGTTTACCCACTTTTGGCGCTGAGGATAACTCGTTTAATCTAGATTAAGACCTTGACGCGATAGGCTGATCGGCTTAACCTTGGGGCTAGTACGCATGAGTTCGAAGTGGGATAGAGAGAAGAAAACTATTGTACCACCTGATTGGCTGACAAGCACGTGATTGAGAGAAGACAAGTGAACTGGAAGACTACTCGATTTATCCTCAATTCCGATCTGGTTAGCGATTTCCCGATTTCAGATCAGTGTAAAAAGATACATGAATAAATAGATGACTAACCCGACCACAACGTGCAGTAATTAGGAAAATACAATTATGTCCAAAGCTGGAGATTAGCTTAGAAAATAGAGTACAAAATAATATGTCTAAATCAAAATAGGTTTGTAACGAAAAGGGCTATGGCAGTGAATCCTACATCAAACGAAAGCTTATGATCTATAGAATAGACTAGGGACAAAAATAAATGTTAATGTTTTACAAGCTTTGAATTAACTGAAATAACGTCCCGAAAAATAGCATCCGTAGTTTGTCAAGGCTTCTCGTTTCTCTGTACACATCAGTTCTTTAAGTTCCAACTCCATGGAATAGAACTGTTTTAACGTTGGTGTTGGAGATGTTGATTTCGGTGCTAAGTGGTAGTACTTCTTGAGGTTCACGTATCCTTTAATTTAAGGGTGTTGCAGTTACTTTATCAACACGTGCAATCATACCTCGATCAGATCCTTTTTGTTTATCACTAGTGTTGCCAAGTCATTAGGAAGCTAAGTAATTTCAAATTTGAGTGGAGCTGTCATACTGATAGGTGTACCGACTTTGTTGTCTGTCATTGAAAGTAACGAGAAGCGGTTACATCGGAATTTGATGCATCGAAAATATATTTATTATGCAAAAGATCATCCATGATTTATTTTCTATAATTTACTCCGCGCACACACATCCATACATTAAACGACCAATTAATTCACATAAGTTTTTAAGTTTTCAATGAACTGTTTATTGAGATTGATGGCATAGGGGTGATTTAGGGAGAAAAATACTGAAATGAATGCATCTTTTCACTGGGTAATATGAACCGTTAGTGCTATGAAATTATATCGTTCACATAATTAACAGTCACAATACTTAATGACTAGGGGGTAGTGGACATTCGATCGTCGATTGATCCGCATAGAGGATTCAACAGAGGATTCAACCACGGAACCAGACGTTGAACTCCATCTTTTTTTCTGAGTGCATGTTACAATCATCTAATACATTCACTACTAATTGTTTCATTGATGATTTGGTTGAAGTCGGAAATATGTACCATTAGTTTAATTGGTTAAGTGCTCTCGATCCTGGCGTTGTTGCAAATAAAAGATTTGACTAGACTACAATTTATAGATAAATCAATGAAATCAAAGATAGTAAGTCTTGGATTTGAGCACGAAATTCATTCATCCATATAGTTAAATAGCATTTTGTCATTAAAGTTGATTTGAGTTCGTGATGAAAATTCTTAATTTAATTTTTAATCTTAAATTCTTACTCTAGACCCTAATCGTAATTCCTCACACTTATCTATAACTCTTATTATCTCTAGTAAGCATACGAATTTTCTCAAAGTCACTTTATCATCACTCAAACGTTGTCCATAAATTATAGTCTTACCAAAGATAGATAAAAGGTTTTTTGTAGTGAGAATACAAAAACACGTTGGTAGATATAGATTACTTGGTTAGGATCCATGTATTAATTATCATGATTACTGGTTAGAGGTAATCGATGAAATTGATCAGAATCGATCACAATGGTGCAGATGCATTCACTCTTTATCGTTCACTGGATATTGGATTTTATTATTCCTTTACATATATACCTTTTCACATCATCTTTACGAATTGTATTCTCAATGTTTAGTCTTTCATATTATTATTGGTTACTATATGATTTTGATTGCTTTTCTAAGTTATTTTATTACATTTACCTCATCGTGCTAATGTAGTATGACAACATAGGCTAACAGATATTTACGACAGGCAATATATTGTTAATGTTTGTCTGTATATTTGAGTTTCCCCATTACACTCTAAGAACATTCAGGTAACGAATCTTTTGTGTGCTTCCTGAATTCCACTGGTAATCTACGCTTATTAAAAATTATTGATATTTATCCAATACCTAAATCGTGGTGAATCAATTTTTTTTATCCCCCAAACGCCCTGGTATGGCCGAGAGTGGGATGAGCCTGCCCGCCCTCTCGAAATGCTCTCACACGGCCACGCGTATACAACGTCTGCCAGGGAAGTCCTACTCACTACCTTCTCGTGGAGGGGGTGTTGTTTACGAAATTGTGAGGACGAAAAGCGAATGTCCGGTGCTTTAACCGGATTCCAAACCAATGGGCTCCAGTATCCTGGGGGAAAAAATGGCGTATGAACCAATTTTGGGTCACCGGCCACCATGGGACTGCATCTCCTCATGATGCTCCACTTCCTTGTGGGTTAGACCTTTAGGTCAAAGGCTCGGGGTGTGGCCCTCTAAGAAAACCATCTGCTTCGGTCTGGGCACCTGGGCAGTATCACAGTTCACACTCAAAAATATGGTGTCGCGCATATATATTTGGTGCCCTCTTGTACCAATATTTGTGTTCAAATAAATAAATAATATATAAAATCCCAGATAAATCGATGTTATACTAGACAATATAATCAGCATCCTAATTCAAATCCATCCAATTGAGCTACACACTTTCGTCTATTATATCCTAAAATCACTCTTATCAATTTTCTCCAAATGAATTATTTCCATACAGTTACGCAATATTTATTTTATACTTTAAACAAAAATACTTTTTACTTACATATAGGGATATATAATCTATAATTGATTTAATATTTCAAAATAGAATCAAAACAATATGATTTTTACCCATGTTACTCAATATTATGGCGTATCATTCATCATCATCATCATCATCATCATCATCATCATCATCATCATCATCATCATCATCATCATCATCATCATCATCATCATCATCATCATCATCATCATCATCATCATCATCATCATCATCATCATCATCATCATCATCATCATCATCATCATCATCATCATCATCATCATCATCATCATCATCATCATCATCATCATCATCATCATCATCATCATCATCATCATCATCATCATCATCATCATCATCATCATCATCATCATCATCATCATCATCATCATCATCATCATCATCATCATCATCATCATCATCATCATCATCATCATCATCATCATCATCATCATCATCATCATCATCATCATCATCATCATCATCATCATCATCATCATCATCATCATCATCATCATCATCATCATCATCATCATCATCATCATCATCATCATCATCATCATCATCATCATCATCATCATCATCATCATCATCATCATCATCATCATCATCATCATCATCATCATCATCATCATCATCATCATCATCATCATCATCATCATCATCATCATCATCATCATCATCATCATCATCATCATCATCATCATCATCATCATCATCATCATCATCATCATCATCATCATCATCATCATCATCATCATCATCATCATCATCATCATCATCATCATCATCATCATCATCATCATCATCATCATCATCATCATCATCATCATCATCATCATCATCATCATCATCATCATCATCATCATCATCATCATCATCATCATCATCATCATCATCATCATCATCATCATCACTATCAACATATATGTACTATTTAATCGTTTTATGCTGATTATATGTTTACATTTTTCACCTTATCCATACACACGCACACGCACACATACACACACACAGAACTATTCAAGTGTACAATGTTCTATGAAAAATATTTCACACTTTGAACAATTCTAATTTGGCGCTGAAAATTTGAATAGTACTTCATAATGTAATTTAGTTCTTTTACATATATACAATTGAGGTTGTAGACATGGGTTAACATTTGATTAGTTCAATATAGAATTCATTTCATTATATAATCCTTATATAAATCATAATTCACTTGTATATCTTATTTATGAAAATGATGAAATGTTTGTTTAAAGTATCTTCTTTCTTTACAATTAGGTCAGCTGATAAATATGATAATTATAGTGTGTATGTGCTTTTTTTTTCTCTTTTTTGTAAATGTCACCAGTTATGATTTATGAATAACAGGTGAATGTAAGTGAAAAAGAGATCAAATAGGGATAGTATGTATCCATGACCGGTATATTGATTTTGTGTAATTAAATATATTTGAAAAATAAAAATGAAACGGATTTTAGACAAATGATCATGAATTGAATACTCTTTTAATAGATACTTCTAGAAAGTCAGTCAGTCAGTCAGCTACAACGTAGGACCAGGCACATATATGCATCGGTCCAAGTTGCCATACCTCATTAACACAACAAGATAAATACCAGATTCATAAAATTAGTTAATTCAGTGGTGGTAATATATAAAAGAAAGAGGATATAGTATAGGAAGAAAGAATTAGTTCGTAGGAAGGAATATATGAAGCGATTTTAACCTCTTAGTTTAAGGGAAGACAGAGAGTGTATACACCGACGCCACTGTGATCGATTCTGAGCCATGTCACCAAGAGTCTCCAACCATTGGTTACGATAGTCACGCGGACCCCAACCAAGTATTCCGCATCTCCCAACATGGCTCAGACTAGAAGTTAGTGACTTCTAGCACTGATGCCACCCGACCATTGTTGCTACCTTGACATGGTGGTCGGGCTTGCCTACCGTGACGAAGCAACCGAGCTATACTGGCTGGAACAACCGCTCCTCAAGGTCCTACCATGTCAGACAGGTCGGTTGAAGAGCATTAAGACTAAAAGCAACAAACCCAAGGTCCGAAGGCGAAGTCGTACTGCTGACTGTACAGAGGTGTGACAGCAGTAAGGTGTTTCCTTCAGACAACCATCATGACAGCGATTCTGCCTTCCCACAAGGAGGGGTGGGGTTAGAAAAGGTCAACCCTAAAAATGCAAACCTCGCCTTATCCCATGGATATTCGTTTCCGGCGGTAAGATCTCAACAAGTACGGAGCTAACACAAAAATTACTCATAAAAAGATCGTATGTGACCGACCTCAAGTAGTTGTCCCTTGGGCATTGTGGTCACGCTCTCAGATCACTTAGACCACCTCTAATCCTATTTCCTTTTCAGGTACCTCCCTCTTCAATTCCTATTATTCCTCCTACTTCTAGAAAAACTTCTATCATTTCAAAATTGTGAACTAAAAGATCTTTTTCTAGTGTTAAAGAAAACACTTTTAAAGACATTGAATATCAGAGGGGATACTTTAACAATGATTTATCGAAATAGACTTTCGGAATCTGTAAGAATAATAAATTCATTATTTTGAGTTTTATTTGTTTATCAATAGATGGCTTATTCATGGTTGTATTAAGTATGAACTTCTGTTTTAAGTCAAATTATTCTATTTCTGTTAGTATAATTCTTCTCTTGTAATGGGTTTCATTAGTTATACAGATAGATCGCTTGCTAAATACATCTCAAACGCTTGCCTAGATTGACCATGAATATAAAGTAGTCACTGAATCCAAATGTTGTGAACTGTTGAAGAGTCTAAAATAAGGAAGAAATTTTTGTTTAATTCAGTCTGATTTGTAACTGTTCACTAGTTAAAGCTAGACCATGATGTAAACTACCTTTAAATCGAAATAATTCGCATAAATCAATGATCAAATAGTATATAAATACCTAGGCAATATTTTATAACATTTGATGAATTCAGTATGGTAGTTAAGATTATTTCCTAGAACTATGAAATTTGTTTACAAGTAGTTACACATGGATCAATATTCAAGTTAAAGGGAACTTTATAATCCCATTGGAAAGTATTGTTTTCGGAATTCCAAACCGTGTGTGGTATAATCATTGTAACATACAAACATTACGGATTGTAATTATCCATTTGAAAAAAAGGTGAACACTACCAAATTTTAATATTTATCTTTTTATACTTGGATAGTTCTGTGATTACAAATCTTTCCTACTGTATACAAATCTCTTAGTTCTATTCATCTTTTGAATAAGCGTCAGAATGGGTCACCTATCGATGACCTCCAACCACCATCTTATCTCAACATAGTGAACGTAATGTTGAATCATCTTGACTAGTGGCCACATATCAACTTGGTTGATAGGATTCGATCTACACTAAGAAGGACTTGATACACATGAGATTGATCACCACCCAGTGATCAATCAGTTATAAATTCATTTTGCAAAATTTTTAATCTGGATTTTTAACAGAATAAAATGTTTGACAATTTCCAGTCGTCTCCAAGTTACATTATTGGATGTTTGACATCTATTAAATTTTATTTTGTAACCGGAAGTATCTAATTCATTAAACTGTACATTTAATTGTATTATAAAAAAAGCTTAGACTGAAATGTTATTTTTCTATTTGCATTGTGTGCAATTCAATCATTAACTGTATGAAAATAGCAGGTCATAGACAACAACTAGTCAATAATCATTTTGTCATCCAGTAATTACTTACATAGTTACGCCTGTTACCCCCAATGGAGCATAAGCCGACAACCAGCATTCTCCAACTCACTATGTCCTGGGCATTCTTTTCTAGTTCCATCCAATTCTTGTTCATTTCTCTCATGTTTGTCTCCACTTCTCGCTGTAATGTGTTCTTCGGTCTCCCTCTTTTCCTTCGACCTTCAGGATTACATGTGAGGGCTTGACTTATGACGCAGTTGGGTGCTTTCCTCGATGTGTGTCCTATCCACCTCCAGCTCTTCTTCCTGATTTCTTCCCCCGCTGGGATCTGGTTTGTTCTCTCCAACAGTAGGTTGTTGCTGATAGTGTCCGGCCAACGGATCCGAATTATTTTGTGTAGACAGCTGTTAATAAACAGTTGTGTCTTCTGGATGATGGCTTTCGTAGTTCTCCAGGTTTCCGTCCCATACAGTTTGTCATTCAGTGGTTCTCACAAAAAGCAGCATAATATTTCATAAAGTAGATATAATGTGGTTAACAGTGGAATGCAAGATGCGCGCTTCGTTTTATTTGGGGCTGGTTGGTTGGATGTATTTGTATCCGGATATTGATGTTTACATCAGGACTCGAGCTGATAACCTTTCACCAGTCAGCACTTTACTCACTATGTTACTAAGTTCAGAAAGCCAGAAAGGTGTTCAGATAGAAATGACGTTTAGACCAGGCTGCGCATATGACAACAAAGACTTACAGATATTCGGTGTTAACTATCAACAACGGGATAAATTAGATCTTTATTAATTATAAAATTACATAATCTAATTATCAGAACTTTATCGACATAAGAAATGGAGGAACTATTGAACTCTTTGTTTATAGTATTTTCTGACGATGTGATAAACTTACAAATATCCAAAAAAAATCAAACTGATTGCATTCAAGTCTTGATATGTCGAGAATCGTATGAAATATAAGCCACTGAATGACACATTGATGGGTTTAAACTAATTCACTCACTAGGTTCTGCCTCTGGAAGGATTGTGAATACGCTATGTTCAGTGGTCCTAAGCTGTAATGAAACACCCGTCTAGTATTATCTGATATTCAATGGAAGTCTAGCTGAGACTAGATGTGGATGTGAATTATTTTCAGATTAGACAAATTTATCATTAACCAGGGCAGTGTGTTTGGAAGCAACCACTAAGTAAAAGTATACACGCTTTTTTGGATATCTTCAACACTTGTCAGTTAAGTATTAAATATCTTTTAGTTAAATCCATTGACTGAGAATGATCATGATGTACTTCACGAGCACTCATCGTTAATTCATAGAGTAAATATTTAATCGAGTTAGTACTATTGCGAATTGTCGTTCAGTGTCACTGAAATCGTGACCCGTTCTAGGTTAGATAACCATTGAAAGCCTGAGAGCACTTGACGCCAGTTTCAACTTAGTATGGTGCTCCTCGTCAGTAGGCACACAACATCCCGCAAACAGTAATCCAACTATACACATTCGGTTTGACACGAACACCCAACATTTACACCATACAACTGGTGTCCGACGGTGTTCAACTATAACCAATCAATCCACAATATTGTACAACAATCTTCCAATATCTTCGATCGGCAACTGGTTCACACACAACACGATTTAGCTCGACTGGCTATTACCCAACAAATACAATCGAAAGCGGTAGCTCACTGTCTTCGATTGATTTCAGTGAAATATTAGCATCATCTTTTATCGACTCAATGATTTACAGATTAGGCATTGACTCACGAGACCGACAGTTTGACGTTCGATTCTCAGATGCGAAGTCGTCTATACTCACTATTAACCGGGTCCTATACTAGAACAAAACATTTATTCAGTGCTTCTAGCTTCTCACTGTTGATCTAACATAGATCATCTCATGATTTCTAACAAATTCAACAATCTTCACAATTCTTTATTGACTATTATTAAATATCTTGATTTTAGTATTGTCGAAAATCCATATTACAAGAAGAGGTGACTACCAATTTTCAGAGATTAGCTCTTTGTATAACTGAATAAATAAGACAGTTTAGATTATTGACTTAGCTAAATTCGTTATAATAATACTACTACTTGTTACCTTACATAGAACTATATACATATTTATGCACGATTTCTTAATTTAACCAAGATTATTAGTTTTCCACATGTTCTATGTGGTTAGTATATTTTCTTACTTACAAATTGCATAGTATTAATGAGGTGAATAAAGGA